TGAATGTGAAAAACGTAGCGTTTCAGTTTCAGTTTGTACAACCCTTAACTATGCACTTTTGTGCGCCGGTTTTGGTTGCTATCTTTTGGCTGTCGATTTAGATGATGCAGAAGGAGAAAGGCGCAGCGTGATAACTGAAGTTCAGTTGAGTTGAATTAAGGTCATGTATGTGTGTTTCGAGACCACATATGTTTATTTCATTTTTTTAGGTTACTTCGTTCTATTGAATATGGAATGATACAATCTTCAGGAAGGAGAAGCGGCCAATCAAAGGGCAGCCATACAAGACAGGAGCGAAAGTCAGGCGGTGGTAGTTGTGGGATTCGAACACACATTCCCCAGGGTGATAATTTGGCGACCTTTATCACCGGGCTACCACCGCGCGCAAGGACAGTAGGTCTGACGTTTAAACTGAAAGGTTCAACGGTTCTAGCCAGCTAGGTATGTTAAACACATCCAACTAAAACAGCTTGCTGGCCGATTGGATAGCGGGTGCGGATATTGAATGCAGCTGAGCGAAAAAGAGATTTCGGTTTCATCAATCCAACACGTTTAGTCACTAGGTAATCCATGAATTATATCCCCTGAGTGGTAGAAACAGAGGGTATCTCGTATGATTTAAGAGTGAAAGGTAGGAATAGACAAATCGAAGAGGGGTTTCAATATGGGTGCATTGACTGTCAGTAGTTTCGAGAAAAAAGTTCCTAAAGGTTGAATTCCAGACTACCAAGTCGTATTCATGTTTGTTTTCATAACATTTCTTCGGTACAAGAATTTGTGGAATGCTAAAATTACACGCTTTTCGGACACTAATCGAACACTGATTTGGTTTGACTGACACAGGAAGTAAACTCACAGACATGTCAATGCGCGTTTTTGAAGATCGACAGTATTTTTCGCCGTCTGACTGTTTCAGCAAATTACTTACATATTTGACAGCCATGAATAATCATGTCAATCAGTAAAAGTTGATGGATATGGGGGCAGTTTTATCCAATCCACTCGCATCTCTACAAAACGGATAGGCTGATTGTGACGAAAACGCATTTCACATTACTGAGAAGACGGTAAACAAACAGATCTCAAACGGTTTGAGTTGATAGACTAGTGACATTTTTTGATGCTCATCTAATTCTGTCTGGGAAATTATTGATTTTCGACAGAAATGCATTAGACACAACTGGAACGAGCCGCGTACAATACCGAATCTGCTCAGGTGAGCTTTGTTGCCGAGTGAGTTTTGTGAAAAGTAGACTGAAAACTTCACAAAACAAGAATCCTACCACGAGTGAAACACGAATTTTCTTGTTGTCCTCTGATCATTTATCGTCATGCTTGGATTGATTTAGACCTAAGCAGATGTGAACTGCTGTTCATGCCGAATCGCACGAGAAGTGGATTATACGTGAAGCACTGGATACAAATGAGGGGAGGCATTTTCCGGACTTTCAAAAATTCTACGAATATATACGCATGAAGGAATTTTGAAGCCTAAAATACGCAATAAACAGTGTTTTGGTCATAGATTCTTCCATTAGAACCTAAACTTAGGCAACTTCCTGAACGGCAATAGCGTTCCCTTCAGGTCTTTCCTTGACTTAATCGTACATTGCCTAAATGAAATACCGCAATGAATTATAGTGTAAACACGAGGAAAACATCCCGTCAAAATTGAACCAGCAGACCTGGAGGGACTTGTACTGTTTTGTAAATATTAGGGACAAGAAAAGTAACCGTTTGTATGTGTTCCTCATAATAAAACTTTGACTTAGCATAAACCCCCCCCCCCAAGCTATTCTTGAGGTTTGCGCTCGGGTGATGAAACCAGATCGGCAAACAATTTATTAAATGCATAAGAAGATCTAATAATTATTCGTTGTCTCGGGCTTGTCTTTATGGGTTTCTACACTGACATCGTTCGTCCCAATAAGGGAAACGAGTGCTTCTGAAACAAGTTAAAAGCTGAAAACATTCTGTAGAATATGCTCCTATCGAAAGCAGACAGATATTTATAGACCGGTAAATTGGTCTTCCAAAAAAGTGACTCAAGAACATAGTCCTAAAATCATGGACACGGAGACATGCAGGCACGGCCACCAACTGATTTCACCTATGGAATTACTTAAACCAAGTGTGTATCAAGCGTCCCTGGAGAAGCTCATTTGGCATGCATTATTCCCGCAGGACGATGAGTGCCACAATTCTACAACTAACGGGGCCGTCGGCTACCGGGTGTACTTCTAGATCACCAACAGGATAACGGTCACTTAAGCGGTTCACTGTAGATAGATATCACTTTACGGAATAAGAGATTGGGTATGATAAGCAACGGAGTCGAGGCATATGGTGCTGTTCTGCCTATAAAACGATCTCACTCAAATAAAAGGCCATACATATCCGTAGAAAGCATAGTGACCTATGCAAATCTGGAACGCAAGTGAATAAGGCCATTGCCATTGCCCAGGTGCTTTACAGGCAGTAATTGTCAGCGCGATTGCTGGAGATCCATCCTTGCAGAAAAAGGATGAGTGTTACTTGGATTTTTGCTTGTGGAATGTTCTCAAAAATTTTCGTGCATTTCGCTAACAAACTGAGTTATCTCTATACGGGAGGAAGACACCATAAAGTAAGTAAAAATGAAGCATCTTATCTAAACCAAGGCAGACAGTGGTTGGAAGAAGCTTAAGTACAATGAGAATACGAATTGACATGAAACCATGAAAACCTTGACAATTGGGCTTGATCATGTCGAGGATTTCCGGTGGGCACTCCAGAGGTTAGCCTAACTGATGGCTCAGGACAGCGTAAGAACAGCCGCACTTGTGTATCTGCTCACTTTCTACACATATCTTACTTACCTGCATCTAATCTACTAATCTTATTGTCCCTCTCAAGTTTTG